CTAGAAGAAGAAGAAGAAGAAGAAGAAGAAGAAGAAGAAGAAGAAGAAGAAGAAGAAGAAGAAGAAGAAGAAGAAGAAGAAGAAGAAGAAGAGCAACAACATCAATAAGAGTAATGAGCTGATGATATCTATAATAACCAAGAAGGAAGAGGTTATAGAACATAGTAAAGAGAGTAAAATAAAGGTATTAATAGCGAGCAGCTATGAGACAAAAAACCACCACAACTCACCACAGATAGCAGTGCTTTTTCCTTATGATTCAAACTACAGATCGTTCAGCTTTTGTATTATCTATCGTTATGTATAACCGAGCCATTAAGACTCACAGTGTAGGTGGAGGGGGTGCTCTCTGAGATAAAGGGTTAAGACTCACAGTGTAGGTGGAGGGTGTGCTCTCTGAGATAAAGGGTTAAGACTCACAGTGTAGGTGGAGGGTGTGCTCTCTGAGATAAAGGGTTAAGACTCACAGTGTAGGTGGAGGGTGTGCTCTCGGAGAGGTCGCGGTTGACGGTGATGATGCCGCTGAATGGGTTGATGGAGAAGAAGTTGTTGGCCGCGTTGCCATCCTCGATCGAAAACACAAACTCGTTCTCCGGACTCTGATGAAGGAAGATGTTTGGTAAAGTTTCAGTAAGAGTTTTACGGTGCTTGCAACACAAATAGGTCATAAAGATGCAAAAGATCAGAGCTGTTTCTAGTGAGTAACAATAACATACATGGAAAAGAAAGGGAGGAGAGTTCAGGGCGATAGATGGTTGATAGTTCAGTTTCAGTTGTACTACACTCTGAATGAGCCTTGGCATTTCTACACCTATTCTTTTAAGTACTTCTTCATTCTTTATTTCCTGTCTCCATAATGTTGTTAGAGTTCTTCGATACCATTTCATTTCGAAAGTTGTAAATTCTTTTTTATTTTGATAATTGATGGTCCATGCTTCACATGTGTCTTCTATAAAGTGAAAAAACAACAACAAAAACAAGAAAAATATTCTGCATCTTATTACAATAATAAAAACAATAAGTGTCCATCATGAACTGATGATAAAGTTTAACATCCAAGGAGTAAGAAAAGTTATAGATCTCATTAACTAATGAAGGTAGCTGGCATGGTAAAAGATTGAAGCAAAGAAAGTAATAGCAAACTGTGGTGTATTTGGTTGTTTTTGGTTGTGGCAGGGGGTTAGGCCTAGCCTATTGTATTGTTTGACTGAAAGTGTGAGAGTGAGTAAAGTGTGAGTCTGTGTTCAGTTGTACTGTTTGCAAGTTGATAAAAGTCTGAGTTACTACTGGTGGGACTTTGAGAGGAGACAGTTGTATCAAGGCAGAGGAGGCCTGCTGACAGTATAGATTGTGAGAATGGCTAGTTAGAGCCTCAGTTCAGTTGTGCGTGAAGAGTGAAATTCCAATCCAACGCATCGGGGCCCCAAAGCTGCGGAAGGAATCACAACACAGAGCAGAGGAACAGGTTTGGCTAATTCCTGTTATAGTGGCATGTGACAGAAGGTTAGTAGTGTAAAATCTTTGTTTTATGTTCCAAGTAACAACACAAACATTTTGAGTTGACCACAAACAGCACACATCTGCGTCTTACAGTGATATCATCGTCAGAGGCGGCCACTTGCAGGACGTTTGTGCCCACGGGCTGGTAGTCGAAGACGCTGTCCTCATAGGTGGAGGACACAAAGCGCGGGGAGAACAGGTTCCTGATCACATTGATCTTCACCGCCTCCGTGGTCTCGATCTCCGGGTTGCCCGTGTCGAATGCTGTCACCAGTAGCTGGGGGACAGGAAACAGAGAAACAGTTAGAACAATGTGGTAAACAGATAATATGAAGAAGAAGAAAAAGGAGAAGAAGAAAAAGAAGAGGGAAAAGAAGAAGAAGAAGAAAAATATGTAATAATAAATTGCATTAATATTGCCCCTTTTTAATCACAATGAGATGTTCAATATTGCATCACAATAAAAAATCAAGGTATGTCAAACACATGTACAACTGAGAAAGAGTTAAAAACCCTTCTAAAATTGTACACACTGTTGGAGTATACTCACACAATGATAATGTGTATGCATCCAGAGATATGTTTCGAAATCACAAGAAGCACTATCAATATAGGAGATTTTAAGATATTCAAACATCAGTAAACCATAACTAGTGGTCGCGGAGCAAATGTTCTCTGTTTGGCTGGCCTGTTTCTCAAATACACATTCAAATTACCACAAATCTAAAAGCAATCATGCTGAAATTTCTTAACATTCTTTGTGAATCTGACCTTTTGACACTGGGCCTAAAGCTTCAAAACTACTAAGATAAAACTGAGATGACTAATGAGCAAAAAGCTTCAAATATTGATTGAATATATATTTTTTTCGAACTAGCTGTTTCAATGCAACGTTTTCCTCTTGACGAATGACTCCACACTCAAAAAAGAAAGAGACAAAAACTCACAGTGTACGAGGCAAATACGTCGGTGTCCAGTGTGAGAATGCGACGCACGGTGATGGAGCCTGTGTCAGTGTCAAGGCCAAAGTACAAGGTGCCGGGCTGGTAGCCGTCCAGTCTGTACTTGATCTCACCCTGGAGAGAGAAATAAAATAGATAAGTATTTTTGTCCTGATTCAAACAAGCTATATTAATAAAACTGCTCAGCCGCTAGCCATTAAAACTTTAAAGTGCTCAGATGTCCAATGTAAGATTTAAGTTCCTGGCTTAACTAAAATGGTTAGAACATTAATATGTTAAGAATAAATGTACTTCATCCTTTTTTTTAAATTCACCCACCAGCACTGTGAGAACTTAATATTCAGTAACAAAGGGTTATGTAAAAGACAGTGTCACATTAGAATGCCATCCGGGACTTGAAATTGTGTACTTGAGAAAGGCATTTTATACAATTCTCCTCACTTCACCCAGAGCAGATTGGGTATCCAACTACAGATGGCCAAAGATATGGTACGTTTGTCAGTGTCTGAGTGACCGCCTAAACGGCTGTTTGCACTGTAATGCTAAAAGAGAATACAAGAATGTTTCCGAGTGTTTTAAAGTCTAGTGGGGTAATAATTATTGTAAAGCGCATAAAGCATGCTGTAGGCCATGGATATACGCCATATAAATGCACTTTTTGTTATAACAAGTCTCAAAGACTACATGAGTACAACACTACATTCCCAAGTGGCTGAAATGGTAAACTGAAACAAACTGGTCAGCCTAGAAAGCTACAGCAAAGTCCTGTGAACTTTACTGCTGCCGGGCACTACTATACATAATATGCAAAGAAGAACTTTTCAAGCCTGGCTCACAACAATGTAAATTAATCATATTTGCGCTCATATGACCTTAAGTAGTTGCGAGTGCCGTAAAAACCTTACTAAGACTAAAAGGACTTTTCGATAGCCAAGACCACGGCAAAAGATAAAAATTACCTTGAGATCAGGATCAGTCGCCACCACTTGGAAGACGCTGGAGTTGACCGCCTGGTTGATGGGTACGTTGATCTCGTAGGGAGTGTTGACGAATCTGGGCGGGCCGCTGTCTCGCAGGATGGAGATGGTCACTGTGACACGGGAACGCTTGATGATGGAAGAGGCACGATTGTCCGACGCTTCCACTTCAAACTAAAACAGGGAAGAATTAAAAATAAAGCCACATAAAAATAAATAATAATATGGTAATGATAAGAACAACAACAACAAAACAAGAACAACAAAAAAACAACAATAATAACACTGAAAATAATAATAGTGATAAAATGAAATAACTTTTCAATAGCTCTCATGCTCTACTATGTTGGTCTTTTACACACTTTACATATGAACCATGCCTGTAACATTTCTCATAAAAGATTGGGTGATTAAGTAAAAACTTAAGTTAAACAAGATGAAAACTGCTTTTTCATCTCAATAAAATCATCAAAAAGTAATGTGAAAACCAAAAATTTTTTGGGTAATAAATACATTGAGATTTAACATCAAATAATAGGGTAAAATACCTCAGAATGATTTAGGATTTTGATACGTGATTATGTGACAGCAAATGGGATTCCCCAAAGCGTACCTGACTTACTGCTCTCAATGTAATGTAAAACACTCCAAACAAAACGGAATTATATTCACAAACATTTGTCTTGGTGAGAAAAATACGTACTTCAAATAGAAGTCCATAGGATCAAGGGAATCTCATTATTGTAATATTTAAAAATAGATAAATAAATAAATAAATAAATAAATAAATAAATAAATAAATAAATAAATGAACAAATGAATAAATAAATGAACAAATGAATTAAAGAACAAATGAATAAATGAATAAATAAATTTCATAACTGAATTATTTTACTGTAACAGCGCAAAACGTAAAAACCCTTACAGCATATTGGTTCTGTAGGGCTGCTATGAGTGGGCTCCGCAGCGAGATGGTACCGGTCTCCGAGTTCAGGAAGAACAGGTCGGCTGCCTCGCCTCCTGCCAGGCTTGTGAATGTCACTTGGTCCTGAGTCAGATTGACAGTGGAAATATATATATATATATATATATATATATATATATATATAATACACAGTAAGTTTTAACAAGTTGTCTTATAATTATACTGACATCTTCCTTCAGGCAAATGACCCCACACAAAAAAGTACTTGTACCTGCATATTATTATAAAACTGGTGTGTGAGTCATAAAGATTAATCATTTTTCAAAAACTGAAAAGCAAACACAAATTTCTCAAAAAACATAGTGATTGCCTTTCTAATCAAGGTACAGCTCGTGGATGCCTTACCCGGTCAGCATCGGTAGCCTCCACAGTTCCGATGATGTTGCCCAGAGGGAAAGTCTCAGCGATGGTGAAGTCGTAGCGTCCGTTGGCAAACACGGGGCCGTTCCTGTTACGCACCACTCGGATGACCAGGTCTGCCTGCACTCTGTTGCCCGAATACACCGTGTCGTAGGCCTGGATCCTCAGCTGTTGGTGACCATGTGGGATAAGTGAGATGAGACGGGGTAAGGTAAG